AATATCTAGATGAAAGATGGTTGAGGAAGGATATGGAAGAACATAATTTGAGATTATCGATTGATCGCGAGAGATGGTTTACAACCAATACTTCAGTATCAAATGAATTTTTTCGTTCTAGTACTCTATACGAAAGTTATCAATATTTATCATATGTGTTCTTATCTAATAGAACCCTATTGGCTCAAATCACAAAGACATTGTTGAGAAAAAATGGGTTTTCCCAGACGAGATGCTTGTTATTATCTCTTCCAATAACGAACGATTGGTTTCACTGAATAATGAAATAAAATAGATACTTTCTTTCTCGTCGTCTCAAGTTGATATTAGGGGATCTTTCAATTGAGAAGATCCTCTAATATCGAGAATCCGTATTGCCCTTGACCGAGCCCACTTGTTTTGAAGCAAATAAAGAGATCCACGGGGGGATTTGTCCTATTCAGATATTCACAACCAATAAGTACAGAATTTTCTTTTCAGATAGGTCCTGAGAAAGAAGGTTGGCATGCCAACAGGCGTCTATTATAAAATTCACCCGACCCGAGAGTACAATACCCATTTTTTGGAATGTCGAGTGCCAAAGTCATTGAATGGGTAAGTCACCAATCTCCTAAGTCGAATATAAAATCTACTTTATCCGTTGGTTAACAGGGGTTGCAGGCGGGACGATTTCAAAATGGACTCTCCATTCATTTCATTAGATAGATAAGATCACCAAACATTCGTGATCTGCCGGTGAACTTATTCCAATTCCATAATAGATCTCAATATTATGCCTTGAAGAGGACTCGAACCTCCACGCTGTATTGGCACGAGATTTTGAGTCTCGCGTGTCTACCATTTCACCACCAAGGCATCAGTCATATTCTATGAATATGATTACTTATGGAATATATTACTGTCGCTACGCGAAAAATGACACAGAGTCGCCACTGGATTTTATTTATCCCAAGGAGGGAAAGGGAAATAGCGATAAAACCTTTGGGAAAAGAGCGTGGTCATTGCAACCAAGTCTTAGGGTTCGGGAGTCGGTTATGCGAGGGGAAGGTGTTAGCACCCCCTCGCATCCATCGTACTCGATGGGAACCTCCTAGGTTGTTTTGCGTGAATGGGTGTTTTTATTAAGAGTTTGCTTGCTTAAGGAAAAGAGGGGTGGTTTATTTATTTTAATGCTCACCAAGGATTGTGGCCCTTGTGCCTACGTATCCTCACTTAAAAGAAGTGACGAATCAGAGCTCCGTAGTTCGGAGGCTTATGAAATAGTTGTTTGTTGGTTGATTTTATACCTTGAAAAAGGGTTTTCGGATTGATGCCCTAAGGCGAAAAATAGTTTGATGAGTTGATGTTATTTTTAGGTTTTTTTCTTAGGGAAGAATTTATTCTTGACTAGGATTATACAAAAGACTTTAGATAGAGATGAATGTCTCGAATAACCAAGTCGAGCGCCTTGTATTCAAAACATTCAGAATGAGTGTAGGAGAACTCCATTCTCATTCCTTCTCCACCACTTTAAAGTTCATGGTGCATAATTCTAATCGTATATTTTATTGTGTTTTGGGTTGTTTATAAGAAAAAAGGATCACTTGATGTTGGATCAAGGATTATTGTTTGTAAAAGTATTTGAGGTGATACGAACAAGGTCGATGGCGGACGCACAAGGCGGCCGACTTACAAGGTTGAAAATGGCTCGATAAAATCGAGAGTTTGCTTTTAAAAATGTTTTTTTTGGAATCAAAAGTCAACAAGGACAATAGCAATATTCACACTAAAATCATACAAACATATGGGTTAGTTGGCTAAAAAAATCGAGACATGCAAAAAAAAACGGCACGAAGATTCTGATTCCATAAACAAACTGATCAGTTCGCACCGCGAACTGAGAAAAGTGAACATTCTGATTTTTGCATGTTCGCGTCGCGAACTGGGAAAGTTGTCATTCTGATTTTGGCATGTTCGCACCGCGAACATGGGACGCGTCGCGACCTGAAGCGGATAATGTAATATTTGTTGTTTTTTTGCTGTCTTTTATGGTTTTCTTTCCTTTCTATTGGTTCTCAAAAATGGTTTTTTGGTCCCTTTAGAACCTTACATGATATACTCAGTATAACCACACATAAAAGAAAAAGTAAAATGAATATAAAAGCAAAAAGTAAAGAGAGAAAGGTTTGAAATGGATACCCAAGAGCTTTCTCTCTTTCTTGCAAGTCCTCCACTGATTTTTGTTGGAGGTGCTCTCCACTCTTCACTCTATGTTGTGAAGGTTCTGCTTCTCAATGGTCCTCTTGTGCTTCTATATCACTCTCTTTTTTCTGGTTTTTCTTCCTTCCTATTTTTCTGGTTTTCAAGGTTTTTCTTGCTCTCTCTATTTTCTGGTTTTTCAATGTGTGTATCGATGTTGAATGTCTCAAAAGTGATCTCTTTTTGTTTACAACCCCCTCCTCTTATCTCAGCTCCTCTAGGGTTTTCTCTTCTCCCCACATATCAAATTTTTCATGGAGTGGTGTCTCTTGCCACCTTTTCTCATGCCACTCTCTTTCTTTCCATTTCCATGCAAGAGCTATGTTGCATTTTTGCTGTTGCACTTTGCCTATGCTGTTTTTTCTGCAGCACTTTGTGCCTTGCACCCATTTTGTTGGCTTGTGCTCGGACAACTCCTCTTGGTCAAAGCTACTACTTCTTGACAGCACTTTCAAAAATCTAATATTTAGATGTATTATCATATGTTATTCTCTTGATTTTGTGACATGTAGATTTTGTGACATGAGGCAATTTGCCACCTCTTGCATGGGGCTATTTTGCCCATGATTAAACATGCATATTCTTGGTCTTAAAACATTCCAATGTTGATTTAATTCTTGCATATTTCTTGGATGTTTGTAAACACATTATGGACTTGGTGTGGCATTACCATAACATGAATTTGATTAGAGACTTGAATGGAGATTAGAAATAAATTAATTTCTAAACATTACTTAGAGTTGGAAGTCTTGCAACAAATGACATTCTTGTAATGTCATAAAATTTCTCTTTGTAATATTCTTGCCTCTAATTCATGAATTCATGATGGATTTCCTTAGAACCATTAAACTTGAAATGGATGAAGTCTTGAATTATGGACTTGTGATCTTGACTCATGCTTTGCAAGTTTGGACTCCACTTGATTAAGAATTTGAAACAAAATTGGATGAAGCAATCTTGAATTGGCCTTGAATTTCATGTTCATTAGGAATATATCTTGAATATCCTAATATTTTTTCAAGTAACTCCCCCTTGAAGAAATCTAGACGAATAGATTTTCCAACTTAGATCAAACCTTAGGTGATGAACCTTTTCTTCCATGTAGTCCAAGATAGACAAGTTATCTCATTTGAAATGGAAAATGACAATCCGTACCCACATGCTCGATATGCAATAGAATGATGTATGATATGGCGAATGTAGGGTATAAAGGCTAAAGGCGAAAATGAGGGTGTCACAATTACAAACTCTTAGTATAAGATATTATTAGATATCTTATTCTATATAGAATTAGATATCTTATTCTATTAGAATAAGGATGGGATAGAATTTGCCGTTGTTCCTCAGTAGCTCAGTGGTAGAGCGGTCGGCTGTTAACCGATTGGTCGTAGGTTCAAATCCTACTTGGGGAGATTTTTTCATTTCCAATGAAAGAATTTGGAATCAAAAGGAATTGTAAAGTTTGTTTCTATTACATTCTATCTCATCATATACTATTCTACTATATTTCTACTTTACATTAAAAAATAATGTAAAACTTTTTTATTTCAACCTCAATCATATTTTATTTTCTTATCCCCAAGGTCCTTCTCCTTTTAGGAGGTTGTGGGCGAGGAGGGATTCGAACCCCCGACACTGTGGTTCATAGCCACGTGCTCTAATCCTCTGAGCTACAGGCCCCACCTTGTCTCCACTAGATATATTCCCCAAAGTACCCTATAAGAAACATTTCCTCTTCCCAACTATTTTTGGTTAAGAAGATGTGAAAGCGCCTCTCTCCTTATAAGAATAAAAATAGAATAAGGATTGTGCGTTCCAAGGTGTGAAGTGGGATGGATAGATTTGATAACAGGGGTTTTTAATAAGACGACCTTTTCATTCTTATTATCTTTTTCAATAGCAAAAGAGAATAAGAATGAAAAGTGTTAAGCTTTTTTTCATCCTGGCGCCGAGCTATTTTTCCGCAGGGCCTCCCCTACAGTATCGTCACCATAGTAGAGTTTAACCACCAAGTTCGGGATGGATTGGTGTGGTTCCTATACGCCTAGGACACCAGAATATCGAACCATAAACAAAAGACACGAGATAAAAGCATATTTACTTTTCATTGTGAGTGTGACGTTCTAATTCTTGACTGGAGAGGACACCAAAGGCCTCTGCCCTTCCATCCCTATCTATTCAAGGTGTGGGGGACAGAGGTTTTGGTTTTTTCATGTTGTCAAAGAGTTGAACAATACAAATCGATGGTGAGTGCTTGATCAAATTGACCAGGTCATCTAGGAACAAGGTTCAAGTCTATCAGTCTGTTAGGATGACTCAGCTGCATACATTACTGCACTTCCACTTGACACCTATCGTTAATGAAAAACGGCTCGTCTCGCCATGACCTTGAATTCTCAAAACTTCTTTTGTGTCGTCCCCGTAGGGGCAGGGAACCCACCCTACGCGGAGGCTCTGGGGAATTTGGAATAGGAAAGCACCTTCTTCAAGAATATGATTACTTATGGAATAGATTTTTGCGAATAAAAAAATGAAGAGAATTTTTTATTCTTACCAACTCGATCTTGTTGCACCGGGCAACAAACATTGGTGAACCATTTCACGTAGTGCATGTATATGAATTCAATATGCCTTAAGCATTGTACAGGGACGTGCTGTAGGAGTAACACATTACCTTCTGGGTGGAATTGCCACAACGTGGGCATTCTTCTTAGCAAGAATTATTGCAGTAGGATAATGGCTAGGAGGATTCGAAAAGCATTATGGCATTAAGATTTCCAAGGTTTAGCCAAGGCTTAGTTCAGGACCCCACTACTCGTCGTATTTGGTTTGGTATTGCTACCGCACATGACTTTGAGAGTCATGATGATATTACTGAGGAACGTCTTTATCATAATATTTTTGCTTCTCATTTCGGACAATTAGCAATCATTTTTCTGTGGACTTCCGGGAATCTCCTCCATGTAGCTTGGCAAGGAAATTTTGAGGCATGGGTACAGGATCCTTTACATGTAAGACCTATTGCTCATGCAATTTGGGATCCCCATTTTGGTCAACCGGCTGTAGAAGCTTTTACGCGAGGGGGTGCTCTTGGACCAGTGAATATTGCTTATTCCGGTGTTTATCAGTGGTGGTATACAATTGGTTTACGTACTAATGAGGATCTTTATACTGGAGCTATTTTTCTATTATTTCTTTCTTTCATATCCTTATTAGCGGGATGGTTACACCTACAACCGAAATGGAAACCGAGCGTTTCGTGGTTTAAAAATGCCGAATCCCGCCTCAATCATCATTTGTCAGGACTATTTGGAGTCAGTTACTTAGCTTGGGTAGGGAATTTAGTCCATGTGGCTATTCTAGGATCCAGAGGAGAATATGTTCGATGGAATAATTTCTTAAGTGTATTGCCTCATCCTCAAGGATTAGGGCCACTTTTTACAGGTCAGTGGAATCTTTATGCTCAAAACCCCGATTCTAGTAATCATTTATTTAGTACTTCGCAAGGCGCGGGAACTGCCATTCTAACACTTCTCGGGGGATTCCATCCTCAAACGCAAAGTTCATGGCTTACCGATATGGCCCATCATCATTTAGCTATTGCAATTCTTTTTCTAATTGATGGTCATATGTATAGAACTAACTTCGGTATTGGGCACAGTATAAAAGATATTTTAGAAGCGCATATTCCTCCGAGGGGTAGATTGGGGCGTGGACATAAGGGTCTTTATGACACAATCAATAATTCATATACTCGCTTTAATTAATCAAGAATAGCAATGTATATGAAACTTACTAATAGTGATGAGTTCAATGTGTTCGTATCTCTTTGTGCTACCAGATAACTTTTAATTAATCAAAATACGAACACATTGAACCATCTCTTACAAAACATGGATCAAATAACTTATTTGTTTTAAAAAAAGATGGAAAGTTAGGTTTTGTTATGGTAACCAGATGCTATATGATCACAAAGTTATTTGTATACGATTTTACAAATTAATACGTTACCTGATTCATTCGTATGAGATACGATCACAAAGTTATTTTTATTTTTGTTTGATCATATTAAAATGTTTGAATTAATTAAAAGTTTGTTTCAAATCTGATACAGAAAAATAAATCGTTGTTATCCAGGATTCATGGGAAAAAAGAGTTGTGCTAGTACCTAGCTGGACTCTGGTTGGATAAAAAACAAACTAAAAAAGAAAATCTAAAATTATAGATTTAGATTATCTATTTAGTATAATTATTTATTAGTATCATATTTAGTATATATATATATATATATATATATATATATATATATATATATATATATATATATATATATATATATATATATATATATATATATATATATATATATATATATATATATATATATATATATATATATATATATATATATATATATATATATATATATATATATATATATATATATATATATATATATATATATATATATATATATATATATATATATATATATATATATAACTCAATCTATATTTATGAGTTAATATAGAATTAGAATCAAATAGAAAAAAGATAGATAAAATATATCAAATGAAGATCCATATCAAATAAGATATATTGAAGCCTTTTTTCGAGCCCTGCGAGGTATCATAAGCACAATAATTCCATTCTTTGAATTGGGGAGAGATGGCTGAGTGGACTAAAGCGTCGGATTGCTAATCCGTTGTACGCATTTTTGTACCGAGGGTTCGAATCCCTCTCTTTCCGTTTATTGATGATTTGCCATTTTTTTCTTTTGAACTTATGGAATTTCTTTTTTTTATTCCCTGTTTGTTTCATTTTTTACTAGTTCTTTTTGACTAGTTAAAGATCGAAAATAGATAGAAAAGCAAAAAATAGTTCAAAATCAAGCACAAGTAAGGAAAAGAAAAAAGATTTTCTTATTCTTCACGTCCAGGATTACGTCCGAGATCATTAGATAGAAATCCGAAGATGAAAAGAGAAACAAAGAATATCACTATCATGTAAACAAATAGTTTTAGAGTAAGCATTACAAAATCTCCAAGATAATTAAAAAAAAACGACAGAGAAAGAGAATAGATTCTCTTCTATTTCATATTATGTTTCCTTAAAAAAGTTCCAATTTGAGTTTTCTCATAAAGTCTTACTTTTTTTAGGACATTATTCAAATGAAAGATCTTATCGAAAACTTACAGCAGCTTGCCAAACAAAAGCGAAAAGAAAAAAGAGTAAGGGTATTACTGGCATAAAATCTACAATTGGAGTCAAAAAAGCATAAGCTTCAGGTAATTTCCCCAAGAAAAAACTACTTGAATAAAGGAAAGAGTTAATACAGACCAAGCTAAAGATATGAAGCATAAAAAAAAATATGTTGTTCTTTAATAAAATGAATTGTATTTTTGCTTTTTTTTTTGAATTCTATTTTTTTTTATTATCTTACTTATTATTATATATTCTTATATATATATATATATATATATATATATATATATATATATATATATATATATATATATATATATATATATATATATATATATATATATATATATATATATATATATATATATATATATATATATAAATCATATATATATATATATATATATATATATATATATATATATATATATATATATATATATGATTTATTATATATATTATTTAATATCCACTTTTTTTATTATACTTTTATATTAAAAATGAAATCTAAAAGAAAAAAGAAATCTGGTCTAACTTGACAAAAGGAAATATCTATATAGAATAACAAATGGGGTGTGGCCAAGTGGTAAGGCAGTGGGTTTTGGTCCCGTTATTCGGAGGTTCGAATCCTCCCGTCCCAGATGATATCGATTCAATTCATCACATTGACATGAATCGATATCATAGGTTTTTCGCCATAAACCAAAAATAAAAAAGGTTGTTCTTGGGGATATATTGTTCATTCATATAACTTTCAATTACTTATTAATTAAATAAATTTATATACGAATTAAAATTAAATTTGATAACTATTCGATAACAAACAATGACTATTCATTATATAATATTTTAATTTAAAAAGGAATAAAAATCTATGGAAAGACAAGGGTTCAATTCAATGTTGTTTACTAGAGGTATGTTGTTTACTAGAGGTTTAGAATACATGTGTGGTTTAAGTAAATCAATAGATAGTTTTGGTCCTATTGATGAAAATAATGGTGGAGACCCATCTAGTTTAACTGATATGCATAATAACATTCATAGCTGGAAGAACATTAGTGAAAATTGTAGTTATAGTTATGGTCATGCTGACTATTCAGCAGATGTGAACAACATACATAATCATAATTTGCTATTTGCAAAAAGTCTATCACTATTAGTAAGACTCAATAAAATTTGATCCATCCTTTTTTCTGTCGTTAAGGTAGAGAAAGTAAGCAAGAATTCTCTTTCTTTATCAGCAATTAAATCACTATTCACGATCCAGGATTCTATTTTATCAGAAATGCAATCATTATTCACGTTTTTTCTTTTTTCATCAATGAATAGATTTTTTTACTTGTATGACTTAAATGTATCGTATTTTTCAAAAACGCGATTCGATTGATAGGATTTGGTAGAATCCTTATGAACTTCATGAAATTAAAACCTTCACCCCTTGGGACGCCAGAAGGCAAACCTCGTCTTTCTTCTCGAAAATTTTCTAATTGTTTTAGAGACAATCGAAAAATATACTGCAACCAGAAATATTTTTGTTCTGATGTACGATACATATCCAGTAGTTTTTTTAATTCAATGATGTAGGATGGAATCATCAACGATTTGACCCGTTCAAACTCTGTTTGTAACTCATTAGAGAATCAAGAAACAAAGGAAAGATGTGTATGAACTAAATATCCAGTAATAAGAAGAAGTAAAAGGATTGAAAACAGGAACTCCTCAATATTTAGTGATCTCAGATGTATCGATATGGATGGTGACTCATTATTTGTGTGAAGAAGATCTTTTTCGTACACCTCTACAAGAGACTTATGTAAACACTTACTCCAAATCTCACTTATACGATTCCGTTGTCCAATGCCCAGTTTTTTCCAAAGAATTGCCTTGGCTCCATGGATAAGATTAAGCAAAATAGATAATATTTTTTTCCATTTAGGACTCTTCTTTAGTATCACAAATAGGTCTGAAAAAGTATGTATAAATAGTAAAAGTAGATTTTTTTGCCCTGTCGTGGTAAGGAGAGACGGTGTTATATACGGGTACAATGGCTTCAATTTGGAGAGAACGGTTGAAAAACTACACTTTCTTTGAAAGTTTCTATACATCTGCCCTTTTTTAAGGAATTTTTTAGAGGTTTTTTTTTCCTCTTTTCGGATGGTAAAAATTCCTCAGAATATAGAGTATATGAATTCTGAGTAATTTTTGATTTCAATGTGTAATTTCTCCTAAACAATAAAATATATTTACATGATGAGGTACATATTTACTAGTTATATCATCGGCAATGGCCTGAATCTCAAGACGTTCTTCGAACCAATCATAGACTTTATTGAGATAGGTAAACCAAGGGACCCCCATTCGAACCGTATATGAAAATTTCATCTCGTACGGCTCAAACAAAAAGACTCAAATACTGGTTATTTAGAAAACAGATATGTGTAAATAGAAAGTTTGAAACTTCTGAACTTAATCCTATGATTCCAGTCTTTTTTGAAGATCCAAAAAATAGAAATCCACAACATATTCTTAGTGTTTATAATGCCAAAATTTCAAGTCGGCTCACTCGTCTTTTCTCTTGATCCTTACAGGCCTCTTGAATATTCTATTATTTACTTCATTTTTTTTTGTATTGTGTATGTAATAAGATTTGACTTCTGTACAACACTTACTCTTTCTTCTTGTAGCACTTACTCTTTCGTATCTCTTTGTTCGAAGCACCTAGCCTATACAAATGGAACCCATATAGGCTAAACTAGCTTTATAGGCTAAACTCGCTTTTTTATTAGTATTCTTTGTAAATAATGTCCAATGGTATATTCAAGAATCTGAACAACTCCAAAGCATGTTTTGTAAGCATGTATCTACGAACATCTTTAGTAGGAGTCATCGGCAAGGTTTCGTGTTTTCTGGTTTCAATATAAAGGACATCACCCCAGATTCGATTAGTTACTAGTATGAGGCACGGAATTTCTTTTATTAAAATGCGGCGAACATTAGAGCTACTTACTCCAGGAATAGGAAGTCTGTAATGAGTAATATATAGCACTCCTTTTGTTATGGACCTTCCATAGCACCTGTGTTGCATTCCTTAAGGCACTCCTTCTCTTTCAAGAGGATTCGCGCATGTCAAACCCTGGTAAGGTTCTTCACTTTGCATCGAATTAAACCACATGCTCCACCGCTTGTGCGGGCCCCTGTCAATTCCTTTGAGTTTCATTCTTGCGAACTTAGTCCCCAGGCGGGATACTTAACGCGTTGGCTATAGCGTTGCACGGGTGAATACGCACAGCCACTTAGTATCCATCATTTACGGCTAGGACTACTAGGGTCTCTAATCCCATTTTCTCCCCTAGCTTTCGTCTCTTAGTGTCAGTGTCGGCCCAGCAGAGTGCTTTCGCTGTTGGGGTTCCTTCTGATCTCTATGCATTTCATCACTCCACCGGAAATTCCCTCTGCCCCTACCGTACTCTAGCTTAGTGGTTTTCACCACCTGTCCAGGGTTGAGCCCTAGGATTTGACAGCGAACTTAAAAAGCCACCTACAGACGCCTTACGCCCAATCA